TTTTTCATTTCTCAGCAAAACAGAGCAATTTTTTAAAGATTTAACCAGAACCGGCGCTTCATGGGATGCTGGTGTTGTAGGTGGCAACTTTACCCATTACGCCCTAACGCCAGCCCCAAAATACATCTTTAAATAAATGTTGATCATTTGCTTTAGTAAAGAAAAATAAGACACCTTTGAATATTTCTGATTACATTTTAAATAATGGTTTAAAATTTTAATTTTTTTTTGACAGGTAGTTATAGACAGTGAGAGAGGGAGAGAGACAGAGAGAAAGGTCCTCCCTCCATTGATTCACTCCCCAAATGGCTGATACAGCTGGAGCTATGCCGATTGGAAGGCAGGAGCCAGGTGCTTCTTCCTGGTCTCCCACGCGGGTGAAGGGGCCCGAGCACTTGGGCCATCCTCCACTTCCCTCCTGGGCCACAGCAAAGAGCTGGACTGGAAGAGGAGCAACTGGGACTAGAACCGGTGCCCATATGGGATGGTGACACTGCAGGCAGAGGATTAACCAAGTGAGCCATGGTGCCAGCCCCTAAAAATTTAAATTTTATTCAATTATTCTATTTTTTCAAGTTTGTAGGCAGTTTTATTTGGGGCAGACTTCATTGAGAAACAGAAACCACTAAGTCTGATTTAGAAGTAACTTGCACAAGTCTCTAACAGCATATATGAAATTCCAAACACTAGCAACTACAGTCACGTATGAGGTACCAAGTTAGATAATCTATACACCACTTAGACCACTCCCACCTCAATCTATTTGAAAATACACTAACATTTTCTTTTTCCATGAACTTATGTTTTCGTTGGGATCCCTTAATACTTTGTGCTTATTTTCCCAACAGTCTTACTTTTCATATTTAAAGGCAGCAGCCATAATGGTTCAGCACAATGATCTAAAAACACATTGCCTACATTAGAATATAGACTCTGTTACCTACACAAGCTGATTGAGTCTCTGGACTTATTTTATTCAACTATAAAATGGGTGATAAAACAGTATCTACACAGAGTAAATAAGTTAGTAAATATAAAGCATATTGAGCAACAGTTTGTCCCTGGCACATCAGACTTAGAACCATAAAACAAAGATATGCAATCTACCTCAGTATGATTCAGAATTGTATATTTTATATTTAACTGAGCACTAATTATTTATAAGCAAATGTAACCCCCTATCATTTCAAAATTATTAAAATGGTTGAATGCGCCCTAAGTTTTCAGTCCCTCATGAGAAAATGGTTAGATTTAAGTTACTCAAAATTAACTGTTTCCCAACATCCCCCCAATCTGAAGAGCAGAGAAGACTCTACTCAAAATCAGCTGAAAGAACATTTAAACCTGTATGTGTAAATCTCTGAAGCACCCTAGAAAAAGCAGAGTAAAAACCAACTTCAGCAGTTGACAGATGTCAAAACACAAAGCAACTAACTTGTAATTTCTATGAAGAATTTTAAATCCCTTTCTTGTAAAACCAAAATAAACTGTAAACACCAAAAACTCCTACAGGAACCGACAAAAATAAACTTATGCTGGAAAAAAAAAGAAAGGTTAACTGAAACTGACTTCCTAGGAAAAGTAACAGTTTGATTAACCTGAAAAAAACCACCATTTCAAACACTGAAATTTATTATCTTGCTTTGTAACCTATACCTTTTTATTTTTCAGTTAAACTTCTGGATTTATTGGCTTAAAAATAAAAAGACAGCCTTTTGTGAAAATGACAACAATCAGTAACTCCACATCTTAAGAATGTTTTTATTTGTTAAACTGTCCTGCACTAATAATCGTCCCAATTTAACAGCACCCTGACTTCATGTATTAGAAGAGACCTTAGAAAAGATCAACAGTCCACCAAATTACAAATTTGTCTATTGAAGACTACTGGCATCTTTAGTTTGGGGTGGGATTTACACAGGCACGTGACTTTTGTTTCTGAACTAAAACATGAAACACCATTAATTCTGTTTTCCGGGTAAGCAATAAATATCAAGGCTAAAAGGAAGTATTTCAAAAAATGCGACAAGCCAACCTCAGAGCCCAAAGTTGGCAGATAAAAGTGACATCACTGCACAATTTCAGCACTATAAGAAACTACCAAAAGAAAAAAAAAAAAAGAAAACCGCACCCATTCTTACATAAACTTTTGGGCATAGGCAAACTTTGAGTCTCACTTTCTTGTTTTCTCCTAGCAAAAGTAGTCTTCAAGATAAAACACCACTTGCAAAAAGACCAAAAGATTCAGTTAACCTCCCCACGAATTAAACCATCAAAATCCTAAGACATGTTAATGTGTTTAAGTTATCCTAGTGTAGGGCATTTCCCTCAGCTGTATACAGCCATTTTAGAGTCAGTTTCTCTGTTTTTTGAATTTCACGGGGTTGGAGGAAGAGGCAGATTTAAAGCAGGAAGAAAAACTCGTTAAAATACGTCAAGATCTACCAGCTGGGTTTTTTTGGGGGGTGGGGGTGGGGTGGGAGTAGGGACGAACCAGTAGATACCGACAGTCAATCTAAACGTAAACACTTCGCTACCGCGGAGAACCGGGACCACCGAACCTCAAACTCTCCTTTCCCTCAGACACCCCACTTCTGACTTAACACTTTTTCCTCCTCAGCTTTTCTTTGAATGGAAAACAAAAAGCCCCTGCTTGGCTTTCAAAACAAGGAAAAGAAAAAGAAACCTGTAAACCAAGCCTCTGAACCAGCATCAAAACGGAACGCCTGGAGAGGAGCCAGAGAGCCTCAGGTGAGCGTTCCACTCGAAGACCAAAGTTGAAGCCGGAGAGCTCGCGCGGAGCCGCGCCGACGCTGGCGCGCTGGGGGCGGCTGCCCGCCCGGCTCACGCCACCGCGGGCCCCGCTCGCCCGGCCCAGGCCGACCTACACCCAACCACCTGTGTGAGAGCGTCCTTCAACTAGTGTTTAACAGGCGGTGGTGGGTTAAGTACCGGGCGGAGCCCGGCACCCGGACCACTTCCAGATCCCCCCACGTCCGGACTGTCCGGAACTCAACACTCACCGGGCAGCGGCAGGGCTACAACAGGGACGAGACGCGGCGTCTGAAGACGGGGGCCCCAGCCTCTCGACCTGGCAGAGGTGACTAGCCCACAACCATAACAAAGCTCTTCCCAAAATGGCTGCCCGGCCCACAAGGCTCAGGAGGGGCAGAGCGGCTGGAGGAGGAGGAGCGACGACCAGCCCGGTCCCCCTCCCCCAACCGGCCCCGCCTCACACGCTCACCCGCCGGAGCGCACGCGCATGCGCACCGGCCCGCTACGGCGCCCCTGCGGAAGCCGGCCCGGCCGCACGCTGCCAACGTCCGGCCGCGTGAACGGCGGTTACCTCCTGCCCCGCCCCCAGCTCTCTGCCGCGGGACGAAGCAACGCGTGGTCGTCTTAGACCCTATGCGGAGCTCAGTCCTCTCGGCCTTTCCTTGCGCCGGCAGAGGGGCGGAGACCAGCCGAGTTTAGTGCCCCCCGCCCCTTAATTTCTGCAGCCCAAGGCCTGAGCCTGGGCGCCTGTGAATGAGTTGGTGGGTGTGTATACGTGTACCCCTTCTTCCCTCCCCCTCTACACCCACACCCCGCCTCTGGGAGAGCACGCGTCCCCAAACTACCTCTCGCAGCGATAGCAAACCGGTTTCGGTGGAGCGTGTGTTTTCCGAACCCGTCCCACCTTCCTTTTTTCACGTGTGCGCGTCGTGGAGACTCCAGCCCCCAGCGGGCCACTGGGCCCCGCTCCGAAGGTCCGCGCTGCTGGGCCTGGCGCGCTACCCGCTGGGAGCCGTAGTTTCTAAGGGCCCGCGGGCGTCACGCCCCTGCCCCAGCGCAGGGCGGGTTTCTGGCGGAGCCTGCGCCTTTGCCAGGGCAGAGAAGCCGTTTCTCCTACTCCAAGTTTCATTGGGTATCACACGACGGGAAGGGGCGGCACTACCATGACGGAGAAGGAAATAAAAGTGGGGGGAAAAAAAAAACAACCAGGGGTGTGAGTTGTGGCGCAGGGAGTTAAGCCGCAGTCTGCATCCTGAATCCGAGTCCCTGGTTCAAGTCCCGTCTGCTCTGCGCGCTTCTGATTCAGCTTCTTGCCCATGAGCCTTAGCGGCAGTAGGTGATGACCCAAATCCTGGGGTGGTGGGGGCGGGGTTGCCTGTGACCCACTGAAGATACCGGGATAGGTTTCGTAGCTCCTGGCTTCCCAGCCCCGCAAGGGTATTTGGCGAGTGAGCCACAAGATGGTAGTTTTATCCCTGTCATTCAGTCTTTCAAATACTAAAAACATGAGTAAAAGCCTAGGGCAACCAGGAGTAATTACTGTTGCTGTGGCTGCAGACAGCAGAGAAAGCCCAGACTACCTAGAATGAGGAGAAATGCGGGAAATGGCCCGCGTGGGCCCTTGAGATCTATTACTTGTCCTGGGCTTTATCCTTAGTGATGGAAGGACTCCCAGATTGCCTGGTGCCATTTCCTTTGACACACTGCGAGAAGCCTGGAGAAGAAAAGGGACTTACCCAAGGTCACACAGCCAAGGAAAAAAGCTGAGGGTGACAGGAGGAGGCACTTTCCCGATCAGATCCCTTCTCCAGGGCTGATCACCACACCTATCACGGAAGTGAAAATCCTGCCCCTCGTGCTTTTTATTCCATAAAGTTTTCAGGTCCCAACAAAGAGGATGAAAATAGAAACGACGTTCCCTCCACGTTAAATACTAATAGTTGAAGACCCTAAGGCGGAGTGAAATGAACCCCTGTCGATTCTACACACCATGTTCCAGAGATGGCACGCAATTCAGCCAAGTTACAGTTGGCCTGGACTCCCAAGTCTTCCACCTTCCCCTACAATCGCTCTGAGATTGTACTAGTAGTTGCACCCTACCTTCCCAGACTCTGCAGATTCTCCTGGTTTGGAATCCTGGAATGGAGAGGCAAAGATGATCAACCACCTTGTCCAACAGCCGTCTTCAACTAGAATTGTGGAATAGTCCCAAGACGGAAAGCTGGATCTGGGAACCAGTGTGCAGAGGTCACATCCCCACCCGGACTCATATTTTTGCATCTCAGGAAGTAGGGGAGGCTGTCTCCCTGCACTGGCCGGAAGTGCCTTTCTAAAGTTCTCTGGCTGTTCCACCTCCCCATGCGAAGCTTGCAGGTGAGTATCAGGGCCACGGAGGCGGTTGGGAAGCAGGGCACCAAAGGCTGGTAGTTAAGTAGGAGGTACGGGCACTGTCTGACATTATTGCCCGAGGATCATTGCATCTAAACTCTGCCTCCTTTTCGCGGTTGTCATTTTAAGGCTTGCAGTTTGCAGCCTTCCCGTTGGGGAAATGGCACTTTCCCCAAAGTGTGTTGGGGGGATTTAACCCTAAGGCTTCCACCTTTAAATCCCGCATCACCTAGGCTTGAGGCTATCACTTTACTTTAATATTCATGAGTTGGAAAGTACTTGCTGCAGTGGGTGGGGAGTTTTCAAGGTGTTAAGGGAGCAGGGGTGATTTTAAATGGGATGGTTCAGAAAGTCCTCACGTATAAAGTGATTTTGAAGATTTTATTTATTAATTTGAGAGGTGGAGCTACAGACAGTAGGAGGGAGAGACAGAAAGGTCTTCCCATCCGCTGTTCACTCCCCAAATGGCCGCAATGGCCGGAGCTGCGCCGATCCGAATCCAGGAGCCAGGAGCTTCTGGGTCTCCCACGCGGGTGCAGGGGCCCAAGTACTTGGGTCATCTTCCACTGCTTTCCCAGACCACAGCAGAGAGCTGGATAGAAAGAGGAGTATCTGGGACTTGACCCGGTGCCTATATGGTATTCCGGCACCGCAGGAGGCGGCTTAGCCCACTGTGCCATAGCGCTGGCCCCATATAAAGTGATTTTAAGCAGAAGTGAGGATGTCAGTTTGAGAAACTCAGAAATCTCTATCCCTATTTGCTTCCATGTACAGAATTGAACGGTATACAGCCATAAGACCTGTGATAAATTCTTTCAATAAATTTATTTTTAAAAAATTAGAGCTGTAGGCTTTGTTTTTTAGCCACTTAATGTCTCCTGGTTAAGAATGGGACCATCAGGTATAGATTCATATTCTCACTCAGCCATTTAACTGCTGTTTACGTTAGACAGCGTTCTGAACCCTCCAAGAATAATAGCTCGTGTTTTTTGAGGGCTAGTATTTTTGAGTAGGTACAGTTCTAAGCTCTTTACATGTATTATTTTTTAAAAAGACTTATTTGAAAGGCAGAGTCATAGCAGGAGAGACAGAGACATCTTCCATCCTCAAATGGGGTCAGGAGCCAGTAACTCCAGCTGCATGCCAGGTGGGTGGCAGGGCTCCAAGCACTGGATCCATCTTCTGCTGCTTTCCCAGGTGCATTAGAAGAAAACTGGATCAGAAATGGAACAGCCAGGACTCAAAAAGGGATGCTGGTGTTGTAGACGGCAACTTAACTCGTGCCGTCCCCCATGTATTAACTTACCAAATTTTTACAACAATCCTATGAAGAAGTTGTTATTGTCCTTATTTTGAGTGTAAGTGAATTATACCATGAAGATTAAGTAACTTGTTCAGTCACATAGCTAATAAGTAGTGGAGCCTGAATTCCAACCGCAATTGTTTGACACAGAAGTCTGTACTCTAACAGGCTGTGTTGTCTCTCAGTACCATGTTGATGAGGTTACTATGAGCATTAGAGTTACTATATTTAAAACCCAGAGTTCAACCATTGGCTCACAGCTAAACATATAGGTTTTTATTTTCATTATTTTGAGTTATAAACTTTTTTTTTTAGATAGGCAGAGTTAGAGAGAGAGAGAGACAGAGAGAAAGGTCTTTCTTTTCTGTTGGTTCACCCCCCAAATGGCCACTACGGCCGGCGCGCTGCGCCGATCTGAAGCCAGGAGCCAGGTGCTTCTTCCTGGTCTCCCATGTGGATGCAGGGGCTCAAGCACTTGGGCCATCTTCCACTGCCTTCCCGGGCCATAGCAAGAGCTGGACTGGTAGAGGAGCAACCGGAACTAGAACCTGGTGCCCATATGGGATGCTGGTGCCACAGGCGGAGGATCAACCAAGTGAGCCACAGTGCCAGCCCCAAGTTATAAACTCTTAAGCCTTAAAGTAGACACTGACGTGAAAAAAAAAAAAAAGGGAAAGCGAAGCTATGACATTCAGTTATAAAGATCAGAAAACTAGTATTTAAAGAAAGCCATTGTGCAGTGTTACATACTAGGAAGTGGTGAATGTGTTTATAAAATCTAGATCATCTGTCAGTGTGCACAATTCTTTCTGTTAGATCTATTTCCTTAATGTGTTGCTGAATCTTTGTTATATGAAAGAAATTCTCATGATTTACTAATTTTTAAAAATTAATAAATAAAAGTTAAGTGCTATCTTATTTATACACAGCAACATGCTTCTGATTCCGCCCCTTCACTTACCTGTAAAAACACATTGATCACAACTGCCTGGCATCTTCCTGAACAAGACATTTAACAGGGCCAGTATGCTTCACGTCATCCAGAAGCTTTCTCAAGCATCTCCAAAGGTGGGTTTCTTCACTCAATATTTGACCACTATTTGCCAAAAACTGCTCTAGCCGGGCAGCAGCAGTGCAAAAAGACAAAAATCCTGTCCTCATTAACTCAGGTTGGGGGGAAGAGTCGCATAGAATACATCTAAGTTGAGTATTTCCTATGTCCAGTGGGGAGTGTTGTGTTGTGGAAAGGGACACATCAGGGAAGGGGACTAGGGAATGTCAGGAACAGATGCAGCATTGCACTTAGGAACAGGATGGTCAGATAGGAGTGGGCCACATGGGTCACTAAAGGAAGAGCACTCCGAATGGTGACAAGGGGAAAGGCCCCAAGCCGGGATCATTCCTAGCATGGTTATGGAATCATCAAGATTCTTATGTACCTGATCCACTTTATTTCATCTCACACTGTCTTAGTTGTTGGTCTGTTCAGCTGAAGTCCGGTATCTACTCACTAAAGCAGAGTGAGCAGAAAAGGGTATTACTTTTAGTTAGACCATAAAGGTAGTGGAGGGTTTTTTTGTTTTTTTTTTTCAAGGCAGAGAAAAATATATGGTCCTGGCATACAAGTCTACTGAGACAAAGATAAGTAAACACACAATTTTAATTCATTGTGAGAATTATGATGGAAGTTTGTTTAGAGTACTTACTGTAAGAATGCTAAATCAGACTGGAGAGGAGTAAAAGAAACCTTCGAGCTGAATTTTCAAAAATAAGTTCCCTACATAGGAAAGTTAGTTAAAAACTAGAATTCTAGGCAGAGACACATTACAAAAGCATAGAGCTGTGAAAAGCAGGCACTATTTATAAAGCTAAATTGGAAGGCAGATTTCTTCGTGGTACATAAAATAGCATTTCAACAGTAATTAGTGCTTTTTTGTTTTTGATTCTTTTAAGATTTATTTATTCATTTGAAAGTCAGAGTTACACAGAGAAGGGGAGGCAGAGAGAGAGAGAGAGGTCTTCCATCTGCTGGTTCACTACCCAAACTAGCGCAATTGCCAGAGCTGCGTGGATTCGAAGTCAGGACCCAGGAGCTTCCTCTGGGTCTTCCCATGCGGGTGCAGGGGTCCAAGGACTTGGGCCATCTTCTACTTTCCCAAGCCATAGCAGAGCTGGATCGGAAGTGGAGCAGCCGGGACTTGAACTGGCACTCAAGGGATGCTGACACTGCAGGCGGCAGCTTTACCCACTATGCCACAGTGTCATTCCGACTTGTGCTTTTTTAAAGATTTATTCATTTTATTCAAAAGACAGAGTAGCAGAAAGAGCAATTTTTTTTAAAGATTTATTTATTTATTTCAAAGTCAGAGTTACACAGAGAAGGAGTGGGAGAGAGAGAGAGAGAGAGAAGTCAGTCTTCCATCTGCTGGTTCACTTCCCAATTAGCTGCAACTGCTGGAGCTGCACCAATCTGAAGCCAGAAGCCAGGAGCTTCCTCCAGGTTTGCCACGCAGGTGCAGGGGCCCAAGGACTTGGGCCATCTTCTACTGCTTTCCCAGGCCATAGCAGAGAGCTAGATCAGAAGTGGAGCAGCCAGGACTTGAACCGGCACCCATATGGGATGCCAGCACTGCAGGCGGCGGCTTTACCCACTATGCCAAAGCCCCGACCCCAGAAAGAGCAATCTTCCATCTACTGGTTCACTTCCCAAAATGACCTGAGTGGCCAGGACTGGACCAGGCTGAATCCAGGAACCTGGAACTCCATCCAGGTCTTCCATGTGGGTGGCAGGGACTTAAGCACTTGGACCATCTTTCTCTGCTTTCCCAAGTGCATTAGCAGGGAGCTGGATCAGAAGTGGAACAGCCAGGAATTGAACCAGTACCCATATGGGATGCCAGAGTCACAGGCAGCAGCTAAATCTGCTACATCACAACATGGGCCCCAGTGCTACTGCTTTTGCAACTTATAAATAGAAGAGCCAGTTTAGAAAGCCTTATTGCTAAGGACCTAATCTCTACCTGCTCTTCTTCCAGGTATTTATGTCATGGTGGTAGGTCCTCATAAATCACTGATTTCTATTCAGTATAGTGTTTTGTTGTTTTTAGTAATATAATATTTTTAATTTTTATTTAAAAATTTTTTATTTATTTGAAAAGCTGAGAGACAGATCTTCATCTGCTGGTTCACTCCCCAGATGCCCACAGCAGCTAGTTTTGGAGCAGGCTATCTTAATCGAGTCTCTCACACAAGTGGCAGGGATCCAGGTGGTTAGAAGGAAGCTGGAATTGCAGGAGGAGTAAAGACTATTCCAGGAGCCCGGCCTATGGCGTAGCAGGTAGAGCTGCTGCTCGCCTTCCAATCCGGCTCTCTGCTATGGCCTGGGAAAACAGTAGAAGATGCCCAAATCCTTGGGCCTCTGCACCTGTGTGGGAGACCTGGAAGAAGCTACTGGCTCCCAGCTTTGGATCATCCCAGCTCGGGCTGATGCTGCCATTTGGGGAGTGAACCAGTGGATGGAAGACTTCTCTCCTCTGCCTTTGCCACTCTGTAACGCTGCCTTTCAAATAAATAAATCTTTTTAAAAAAATTGTACTCCAGATACTTCCAATATGGGATGCAGGTATCCCAAGAGGCGTCTTAATAGGTGTGTCAAACACCCGCCCTTATTTTTTATTTTTGACACATAGTAATCGTACACATTTACAGTGTATAGCTATACTACTATTTGAATGATTTAATACTTTCATCAGTAATAACATAACTCGGTAGTCAGTTAAGCCTGTCTGTAAAGTTTGATGTGCTATGAGGCAGGTGTGTGATACAGTGAGTGAAACCACTGCTTTGTTAAATGCAAGGGTTCAAATTCCACCTCAACTTCCAGTCCAGCATTCCTGCTAGTGTGCATCCTGAGAGGCAGCAGAAGATGGCTGAAGAACTTGGAGTCCCTGCCACCCATGTAGTATACCCAAATGGAGCTCCTGGTTCAGCCTGGCCCAGCCCTGCCTGTTGTGGGTCTTGGGGAACTGAACCAGCATATGGAAGATACCTCTTGTTTTCACTCTTGCTCACTTGGTCTCTGGCACTCTACCTTTCACATAAACAAACATTTTCTAAAAAATATCAAGTAATAAAGGGAAGTTTGATGTGCTAATAGAAAGAGCTTTTTGGTTGTTTTGCTTCTTATTGTTTCAGATTGAGAATAAGAAATCTGGTGATTTTAAAATTTTATTTATCTTACTGTTCTGTTTTCTTTACAGATACTAAAGTACCCTTTCATAATGGGAATAGGAACCAGCAGAACAGATAAACTTGCTCTCAAGTCATCTCTCCAGCAGAACTTTTCCTCTTTGATTCAGAGGCCTTGGTTTGTCTCATCATTTCCAGTGTGTGTTAGCAAGACACAAGGCTATCATACATCCCCTTGGAGCTTTAAGAAGAAGGAGAAGCAAGCAGTACTTCCACCCAGGCCACCAAACACCATCTCTTACCTGACTGACAGCCCCAAACCAGCATTATACATAACTCTAGCAGGACTGGTCCCCTTTGTTGCTCCACCACTGGTCATGGTGATGACAAAGACTTATATCCCCATGTTAGCTTTTACACAGATGGCTTATGGTGCCAGTTTCCTATCTTTCTTGGGAGGGATCAGGTGGGGTTTTGCTCTGCCAGAAGATAGTCCAGCCAAACCAGACTTCCTTAATTTAGCTAATAGTATGGCCCCCGTTATGTTTTCATGGTTTGCCCTCCTTACTTTTGAAAGACTCAGTGCAGCCATAGTCACTGTAATAGTAGGTTTGGGGATAGCATTACACATTGAACTCTTTCTCTTGCCACATTATCCCAACTGGTTCAAAGCCCTGAGGTTACTGGTTACTTTTGTAGCCTTTTTTTCATTTGCAATCACTTTATTAGTTGAAAATATTTATCCAGAGAAAGAACCCAAGAGACCTGGTCAAACAGAATAAATATAAGACTACTTTGTTAATAACATTAGCATGTTTGTTATGACCTTATAAAGTTGCATTTTGGCATCACTTTTTTCTTCTGTTTGGCTGTTTCTCCTCACCCCATCAATGGTAGTTTATTCTTCATAGATTGTTTTTTATTTCTAGAAAACATTATTTTATAGTAGTTACTTGATCAAAAACGTCAAAATCTCTGACAAAACTTTTAAATATCATAGTTTTTTTTTAGTCTTTTGATGAATTTTATAGTCAACCATTTAAACATTTCAGTGTTTTAATTATCTTGGGAAATATAAATTAAGATGCAAAAAGTTTCCTTTGTTAGAGCCTTATGATCATTAGAAGAAACATACATTGTCCTACAAGAGGGAGTCTTTGTATTCATGAGTGTCTAAAAATAAAAGGTGGTTCCAGTGTGGAGCTTTCATGGTAGATGTCTTTTAGAATAGCATATCCAAGCCTATTGTACCTGCTGTAATCGTTTTATGAACTGAAAGGATCTGTGACACTAGTGGATAGCGAGCAGTGTTATGAGGGGAAAGCATGTTCAAAGAAACACTAGACATGTTTTCTAGTTTCCATTAGGATGTTTGGCATGGTATAGAGGCAACCTATCAATCACCAAATACGTATACTGGCTGATCAAAAACAGAAGAATGAAGTCACTAGTACATACCAATTACAAAGAAGATGTCAAGCTGGAGCCATCTTTTTATTCTTTTTTTTTTTTTATGATTTATTTATTTGAGAGGCAGAGAGAGAGGACAGAGAAGTCTTCCATCTGTTGGTTCACTCCTGAAAGGCCACAATGGCTGAAGCTTGGGAGTAAAAGATGGCTCTAGTTCTTGGGCCTCTGCCACTCACATGGGATACCCAGATGAAGTTCTGGGCCCATGTCTTCAGCCTGGCCTAGCCCTGGATATTGCAGCCAACTGGGGAGTGAATCAGGTGATGAAAGATCTTTCTGTCCCTCTCTCTATAACTTATTAAAAAAATCTTAAAAAACAGCAAACATGGATTGGGCATTTGCCATATTGGAGTGTCTGGGTTAATAATGGGGGTCTGCTCCTGACTCCAGCTTTCTATTGAAATATCCTGAGGGCATCTGGGGAGTGGTAATAAAAAGAAAAGGCAACACTTTTAATTTTAACTTGAAAAATCTAATCTCTTGGATTTCTAGTCTCACAATAAAGACTTTTTTTTTTTAAAGATTTATTTAAAAGAGTTACACAGAGCAAAGGCAGAAAGAGAGAGGTATTCCATCCACTGGTTCACTCCCCAATTGGCCACAACGGCCAGAGCTGCGCTGATCCGCAGCCAGGAGCCAGGAGCTTCCTCTGGGTCCCCCACGTGGGTGTAGGGGCCCAAGGAGTTGAGCCATCTTCTTAACTGCTTTCCCAGGCCATAGCAGAGAGCTGGATCATTAGTGGGAGCAGCTGGGTCTTGAACCAGCGCCCATATGGGATGCCAGCACTTCAGGCCAGGGCATTAACCTGCTGTGCCACAGCATCGGCCCCACTTACTATTATTTTTTTAATTGACTTGAAAGAGTGACAGATCTTTATCAGGTAATTCACTCCTTAAATGCCTGTTATAGCCAACACTGGGTGAGGCCAAAGCCAGGAACCTGGAACTCCATCTGGGTCTCCCAAATGTATGGTAGGAACTCAGATACTTGAGTCATCATCCGTCATGTGCTGCCTCCCGGGATACATCAGCAGGAAGCTGGATGGCAAGTGGAAGAGCCAGAACTCGCATTGGCATTCCAATGTAGGTGTCCCAGGGGGTGGCTTAACCTCCTGAGCCACAACACACATGAAAAACACTTTAAATAATATAAAGAGCAGTGTTCTGGAGTAGTAGGTTAAGCCCCTGGCATCCCATATGGGCACTGGTTCAAGTCTTGGCTGCTCCATTTGATCCAGCCCCCTGCTAATGCTCCTGGGAAAGAAGAGTTAGATGGCCCAAGTCCTTGGGCCCCTGCCATCCACATTGGAAACCTGGAGGAGGCTCCTGGCTCCTGGTTTTGGCCTGGCCCAGTCCTGGCTGTTGTGGCCACTTGGGTATTGAACCAGTGGATGGAGAATCTCTCTGTAACTCTGCCATTCAAATAATTCTTTTTTAAAAGTGGCATGGGGCCACTGCTGTGGCATGGTGAGTTAAAGCCTGCAGCCTGCAGTGCCAGCATCTCATATGGGTGCCGGTTCGAGTCCCAGCTGCTCCTCTTCTGATCCAGCTCTCTGCTATGGCCTGGGAAAGCAGTAGAAGATGGCCTAAGTCCTTGTGTCCCTGCACTCATGTGGGAGACCTAAAAGAAAACCCTGGCTCCTGGCTTAGGATCAGCTCAGCTCTGGCTGTTGTGGTCATTTGGGGAGTGAACCAGGGGAATGGAAGACCTCTCGCTCTGGTTCTACCTCTCTCTCTAACTCTGTCTTTCAAATACATAAAATAATTCTTTTTAAAAAATGTTATAAGTATAAATCAGGAATGGTATCACCTGGAGTGCTATATCTTTATATATAAGTATTCAAATATTAGTTAACTCAGATTTCATATAGTAATTCTTTTTTTTAATTAGGATTTATTTATTTATTTGAAAGGCAGAGTTAGAGAGAGGGAGAGGCAGAGAGAAGGAGATTCTCCATCCACTGGTTCACTCCCCAGATGGCTGCAATGGCCAGAGCTGTGTCGATCCGAAGCCAAGAGCCAGGAGCCTCTTCCAGGTTTCCCATGTGGGTACAAGGGCCCAAGGACTTAGGCCATCTTCTACGGCTTTCCCAGCCACAGCAGAGAGCTGGATCAGAAGTGGAGCAGCCAGGGCTCGAACTGGCACCCATAAGGGATGTGGCTTTACACAACTATACTACAGCTCCAGTCCTCATATAGTAATTCTTCATAGGAAGAGGTTTTATCAGAGTCTGTAGTAATAAATGGCTTACTGTCTTACCTACCTTTTAGGGTCTGAATTATGTGTTAAGACCTAACCTCAAAAACACCAAGACTCCACCAAAAAAAAAACAAAAAACAAAAAACAAAACAAACAAAACAACAACAACAAAACCCTAACCTTAAGTATCTAAGAAAGTAACCTTATTTGCAGATAAGATCTTTTAAAAAGTAAGGTTAATATGAGGTAACTGGGGTGGACTTTAAGGAAATCTGACCCATATATTTTCTTAACAAAAAAGGAACATTTGGAGACAGACACCTGAGGAAGAATGCCATGTGAATACGATAATGGCCATCTACAAACCAAGGAGAGGTATGGGACAGATTCTCACAGTCCTCAGAAGGAACCAACTCTGCCAACACCTTAATTTCATTTTGTTAACAGAGCCCTACAAAACTGATAACTACACTGAAGAGCTAGACTTCCTGACCATTTAGAGGCTTACCAGTTAAAACCAATGTCCTGAAATTGCTACAGGATTTTTACAAATACAGAGAATAGTTTACTACAGGCTGATAAGGAAGGAAAGAAAGCTCATGTTTCTCAAATCTTCCTCAGATTAAGTGTTTTGATGCGAAAACTCACTTATTTGCTTATAATTTGCTCAAGTGCTCTACAAACTTCAAACTTTCCCTGATCTCAACTAAATGCATTGTTTTCCAGAATAAGGACAAGACATAAACCAATTGCTCAGTTTTATAAGAAACACTGCTGTTTTGCAGGTAGATTACAGTGCATACTTTTTAAAGAAAACTGATTTGTAAGTTCATTTGATTAAATGAGACAAGATATTTGGAAGCATATTGAATTGTCACACAGTTGGAGGATGAACACTTTAATAGCTGATCAGAAAATCGAATTAAATGTAAAAATCAGTGTGTACTTTCCTAATGATAAAACAAGCTAAAAAACAAACAAACAAAACTCATGCAGTCCTACCACAGTGTGGTGATTCAGGGATGCTGCTAATAAACTAAGTTAATAACACAAGTAAAGAAAAAAAAAACAGATATTTTATTAGTACATTCTTTTCAGTATATCATTACCTAGGAAATAATAAGCATATCTGTAATGACCTATTTTCAGGGATCTTCTGGATTTATTAAACCCAAACACTGAATGTCTTGGCATTAACATTTCTGCCATGGCAATGCAAAACAGCTCTCTTCACAGTGCCATTTTAGGTTGGTACTATGCGATAGAGAGAATTAATTGTAGGAGTATTTTGTAATTCTGTTTTGAAACAAAATACAGATTGTCTGTAACAAGAAATAGTAAAGGCACATAAGTGAGATCTTAAATAGTCTACACTTTATAACATGCAAATAGTTAATTTATGAATGAAAGTATACTGTGGGCCAAACCAAATATTTTAGATATGAGTGCTACCTGAGTTTTTAATGCTGTCCAAAGATTTTCTATGTTAAGTTGCTGATGCCTCCAACAATATACTGAAGGATCTCAGTAAATAAGAACTCAAATCCTTTAGTCAACAAGTTAAACCTTAATGTATTCAAGACCTTTAATAACTGGCCAGTAAAAATAATTTATAAGTAATGTTCCCACACAAAAGATGAATCTTCTCTCAGGAATGAACAAAACAATTCTGTTGAATGTTTTTCTGGGGACAAAGTTTTGAGTTTTTCAGATTTTGGAATATTTGCATAGACTACACTAGTTGAGCATCCCTAATCCCAAAATTCAAATTGTTCTAAATTCTGGCATCATGTCAGCACTCAAAAAGCTAGATTTCAGATTTCTAGATTAGGGATACTCAATCTGTACCTATAACTGAGCCTTCTCCAAGCCAAGCGGCAGCTTTGTAGCAAGTCAGTTTTCAGGCTTGCCCAAGTACAAGTAGATTCACAGAGCATGATAATCTAATCAAATTTCCTCTTCCTGAAACCATCCATATAATTTTGATGACTGTCTCAAAAATAAAGAAGAAATTTCTAAATGCATAATACTAAATGCCTGATGAGCTCTATCACCCATTACAACATCCTAGTATTATGAAATCATTAAGAACCTCCAATTAATTCTGCACTTGCAATTCTCAAAATCAAGACAAAAATAATGGGGGAGCAAAAGATTTTCTTAGGTGTTAGCAACAAGCAAATACATCTATATAAATGGTAAATATTTCCCACCTACCCCTCCCCAGTCTATCTGCTGCCAACAAAAGGTTTAACTGTTGAAAAGTTCTGCCATCAAATAAAAGTGAGAAGTTGTTCCATTGGTTTTCTATAGGCTAAACTACCATCATGGAAAATTGTGCTCTGGATTAAATCATCAATGAGAAGTTTTAAAACTGTCTCATTGGGCCGGCGCTGCGGCTCACTAGGCTAATCCTCCGCATGCAGAGCCGGCACTCCGGGTTCTAGTCCCGGTTAGGGCACCGGATTCTATCCCGGTCGCTCCTCTTCCAGTCCAGCTCTCTGCTGTAGCCTGGGAAGGCAGTGGAGGATGACCCAGGTGCTTGGGCCCTGCACCTGCATGAGAGACCAGGAAGAGGCACCTGGCTCCTGGCTTCGGATCGGTGCAGCATGCCAGCCGTAGCGGCCATTTGTGGGGTGAACCAACGGAAGGAAGACCTTTCTCTCCGTCTCTCTCTCTCTCTCTCTAACTCTGCCTGTCAAAAAAAAAAAAAAAAAAAAAACCACCTGTCTCACTGATATTATTCCTATATCATATATAGGTTATGTAACAGAGACTATTTGCCACAGAGCCTCTAACATAGAGTTTTACAAATGAAACTGCTGTACAAGTTTATTTGTCCAGAAATTAATTTCTATTGTTGACAAGCTTGTCAAGTTTGTGTGGGCTCTTTATTAACTTAGGATATATTTCATGTCTCCCCTGGCTTTTTAGAAAAATCACTCTTTTGTCATTTATCTACCAAATGCATGTAAAATACAATAGAATCAGAGGGTCCTAATATCAAACATGTTTGATTTGCAAAAGGTCAGATCTTGCACTTTCAAAATCTTCCTTGTGTTCCCTTGTACTTTATATTTCATAGCACAGCAACACCTCCTTCACAACGACTGGTGATCATGTTACCAATTTCTGTCCATGTATCAGAATGAGGGTTATAAACTTCAACGGAGTCCAAGGTACCTGGGGCCAAAAAATCATGGCTGGAAGTTCGACCTCCAGAAACATACAGAAGACCATTGACTGCTACAACACACATGCCTGCTCTAGGCACTTTCATTGAAGCAACTTCAACCCACTTTTCCTGGTTAAGAAAGAAAAACAAAAACATGTTAGTAGTGTCATAAAATAACATAGAAAATCTCTGAGAAAACAAATATTTTGGTTCTTTTTACATGTTTAAATTTCAAGCTCACAATCCCAGATAAATATAAAGAACATTTTTTTAGTGAACTTCTGAGTAGGCATGGACAGAGTAGTGAATTTAGAGGATAATGTGGAAAAACATGTCTGATTATAAATTTTGATCAAGGGATGATCACATAGAGGCAAACACCCTGAGAAACTAGGTCTGTGGAATATAAGTAGGCAATATAAACAAATGATGTTCCAAGGAAAAATAAGAGCTTTTTCAAGCCTTAGTATGCTAACTAGCTTTAAAATTTTCAAAGAACGATACAGTGTATAACACTTCCCAAATTTATTTGACCATGGAATACTTTTTCCAGGGACCCCCCGCAGTGGAATTAGTAATCTGTAGATCATATTTTCAAACAGGTGAGCTAGGACAAGAGTTGGGAACTATAGCCTGAGAATTAAGAATGATTTTTCTATATTAAAAGGTTATCTTTTAAAAAGAATATGATCAAAGAAGAGATTGTATATGGCCCACAATTTTTGAATGTGACCCAAACTTTTTACTATCTAGCACTTTACACAAAAAGTTTGCTGACTCTTGGTATACACTGTTACCTGAAGAAATTTCAATAAGCTGCTATAGTCCAAATGACTAGTGGTGTCATACTTCAAGGTCAATGTCTATATTCAGAAAATGGGAATGCTTGTAAAGGTCCTGAGAAGTGATTAGGAGAGAAAAGGGTAACCAGGTAACAAAAGAATGGGTTAACTGCAAATTAAGCCTATGATGAACAACATTTTTTATTTATTTATTTATTTATTTATTTATTTATTTATATTTTTTGACAGGCAGAGTGGACAGTGAGAGAGAGAGACAGAGAGAAAGGTCTTCCTTTGCCGTTGGTTCACCCTCCAATGGCCGCCGTCACTGGCGCGCTGCGGCCGGCGCACCGCGCTGATCCGATGGCAGGAGCCAGGAGCCAGGTGCTTTTCCTGGTCTCCCATGGGGTGCAGGGCCCAAGCACCTGGGCCATCCTCCACTGCACTCCCTGGCCACAGCAGAGAGCTGGCCTGGAAGAGGGGCAACCGGGACAGAATCGGCGCCCAGACCGGGACTAGAACCCGGTGTGCCGGCGCCGCTAGGCGGAGGATTAGCCTAGTGAGCTGCGGCGCCGGCCGATGAACAACATTTTTGAAATGATAAAAAATAAATACTGATGGCTGGCACCATGGCTCACTTGGCTAATCCTTCACCTGCGGCACCAGCACCCCAGGTTCTAGTCCCGGTTGGGGCGCCAGGTACTAGTCCTGGTTGCTCCTCTCCCAGTCCAGCTCTCTGCTGTGGCCTGGGAGGGCAGCAGAGGATGGCCCAAGTGCTTGGGCCCCTGCACCTGCATGGGAGACCGGGAGAAAGCACCCAGCTCCTGGCTTTGGATCAGCACAGTGCTGGCCATAGCAGCCATTAGGGGAGTGAACCAATGGAAGGAAGACCTGTGGGGAGCAACTCGGACTAGACTGTTGCTGGAATTAAGACTTATTCTATGCATTTGCTCCCCCACAATATGGCGCTGGGAGAGGAGAAAAACAGCTTCTACACAGCTGCCTCCAGTTCAACCAATAAACTGTAGGACTTGCTCCTGATTGGAGGAGAGCAGCGTACTCGGCGTGTGGGTAGCAGAGTTGGGATTGGTGGAAGAGGACTATAAAGGAGGAGAGAGACAACATGCACGAGGAACATCTAAGGGGAACATCTATCTGAAGCAACACCTGTGCAGCCCCCGAGAGAGCGGTGTGCCGCTCCCCCGCGGAAGTGGGGAATGTGGCAGGGGGAACCGCCCTTCCACGGAGGTGGAAGGGTTGGTAGCCAACCCGGGAAGAACCAGCAGCAAACCCGGGGAGGGCCGAGCAGACAAAAGAACAGCGCAGGGTCTTGTGTCGTTCCTCCACGAAGAGGGGGAGCGACAAGACCTTTCTCTCTGTCTCTCTCTCACTGTCTATAACTCTCTCTCTGTCTCTCTGTCTCTCTCACTGTCTAACTCTGCCTGTCAAAAAAATAAAAATAAAAAATAAAAAATACTGATTATTCATGAGTGTTAGAGAGTGAACTTTCTGAGAACTTAAGCATCTTATAATTCTAATACCCAGTTTAGTGTTGGCACATAACAGACAGATAATGGCCAGCACTAAGGCTCAATAGGCTAATCCTCTGCCTGTGGCGCCAGCACACCGGGTTCTAGTCCCATTCAGGGTGCCAGATTCTGTCTCGGTTGCCCCTCTTTCCGTCCAGCTCTCTGCTGTGGCCCAGGAGTAGGGTGGAGGATGGCCCAAGTCCTTGGGCCCTGCACCCGCATGGGAGACCAGGAGAAGCACCTGGCTCCTGGCTTTGGATCAGCGCGGTGCACCGGCCGCAGTGCGCCGGCCACGGTGGCCATTGGAGGGTGAACCAATGGCAAAGGAAGACTTTTCTCTCTGTCTCTCTCTCTCTCACTGTCCACTCTGCCTGTTAAAAAAAAAAAAAAGAAAAAACAGAATGATAATGTATGTTTGCTGATCTGAATTAATATAATACTCAGAAATACTAAAACCAGACCCAATCCTCCTGATATTGAAGGACCAGATTAAATTTGAAAGCTATTTGGTCATGTGAAATTACAGAACACATCACAAAGTTACAGAACTGAAAAAAAAATTTTTTTTAAGATTTATTTATTTATTTGAGAGACAGAGGCAGAGAGAGAGAAAGAGAAGACAGAGTTCTTCCACCTACTGGTTCATCCCAAAAGGCCACAATGGCCGGAGCTGGGCCAATCTTAAGCCAGGAGCCAGGAGTCAGGTCTCCCATGTGGGTGCAGGGGCCCAAGCACTTGGGTCATCTTCCACTGTATACAGCAGAGAGCTGTATTGTAAGTGGAGCAGCTGAGACTCGAACTGGTGCCCAAATAGGTTGCCAGCACTGCAGGCAGTAGTTTTACCTGTTAGGCCACAGAACAGGCCCCTTCTTGTGACTTCTTTCTAAAAAATTATTTATTGGGTCCAGTGTTGTACAGCAGTAAGTTAAACTACATCTTGTAATGCCAGCATCCCATATTTGACTAATTCAATTACTGGCTGCTCTGCTTCCCATTCAGCTTCCTGCTAATGCACTGTGGAAGGCAGCAAATGATGGCCCAAGTGCATGAGTCAATCCTGCCAAGGGGGAGACCAGGATATAGTTCTAGACTGCTAGCTTTGGCCTGGCCCAGACCTGGCTATTGCAGCCATTTGGGAAATAAACCAGTGGGCGGATGATATCTCCATCCTCCAGACCCCATTGCTCTGCCTTTCAATTAAATATTTAAATAAAAAATTAAAAAGCGATTTATTTTAATTTTATTAGAAAGGGAGAGACAGATGGAGAGAGATCTTTCATCTGCTGGTGTATTCCCCAAATTCTCTCAACAGCCAGAGCTGGAGCAGGCTGAAACTGGATATCTGAATCTCCCATGTGGATGGGAGAGACCCAAGTACTTGAGCCATCATCTGTTGTCTTGTAGGTGTTTATTAGCAAAAAACTAGACTGTGCCGGTGCCGCAGCTAACTTGGCTAATCTTCCACCTGCGGCGCCGGCACCCGGGGTTCTAGTCCCGGTTGGGGCGCTGGATTCTGTCCTGGTTGCTCCTCTTCCAGTCCAGCTCTCTGTTGTAGCCCAGGGGGGCAGTGGAGGATGGCCCAAGTGCTTGGGCCCTGCACCCACATGGAAGACCAGGAGGAAGTACCTGGCTCCTGGCTTCAGATTGGCGCAGCGCACCGGCTGTAGTGGCCATTTGGGGGGTGAACCAATGGCAAAGGAAGACCTTTCTCTCTGTCTCTCTGTCTCTCTAACTCTGCCTATCAAAAAACAAACAAACAAAAAAACACTGGATTGTAAGTAGAGCAGCCAGGACTCAAACCAGGTACTCTGACACGGAACATGGGCAACCCAAGCAGTGGCTCAAACCCTATGTCAAACATCCATCCCCACTCTTACTCATTGAATTCAGCAATGTACTGAAGGTACTAGCTAGGGCAATTAGAAAAGAAAATTAAAGGCATATAAATTTAATTCATATTTAAGAAGTAAAAATATTTATACACTATGTGAACTTGTATATAGAAAAACTTTAAGAAATCCATACACAAACAAAAACTATTAGACCATGAGTCTAGCAAGGTTGCAGGATACAAGGTCAATGTGCAAAAATCAGTTGTACTTCACCAACAATGAACATCTGAACTTTAAATTAACAAAACAATTCAATTATAATAGCATCAAAAGGAATAAAATACATCAAAATAAATTTAACCAAGAAAACACAAGGAACTGAAAACTATAAAACAATGTTGAAATAAATTAAAGATGATCTAAATAAAAGAAAAAAACATTCCATGTTCATTAATCAGAAGACAAAACTGTTAAGATGGCAATACTGTTCAGATGACAATACCTTCAAAACTGATCTCAGATTCAGTAGTATCCCTATGTAAAAAAAAATTCGCTTATTTGTTATTTGCATATGAAATTCAAGTGACCTAGAATAGCTAAGTCAGTTTTTGAAGAAGTTCAAATTTGGATGACTCACACTTTCCAATTTCAAAACTTGCAGTAATCAAGTCAATGTAGTACTGATGTAAGGATAGAACTGAGTGCTTAGAAATGGACCCTCACTTTTTTTTTTTTAATATTTATTTGAGAGTTAGAGTTACAGACAGAGGGAGACAGAAAGAGAGGTCTTCCATCTACTGGTTCTCTCCCGAAATAGCCACAAACATTGAGGGCTGGGCTGATCCAAAGCCAGGAGTTTCTTCCAGGTCTCCCATATGGGTGTAGGGGCCCAAGCACTTGAGCCATCTTCTAGTGATTTCCCAGGCCATTAACAGAGAGCTGGATAGGAAAAGGCACAGCTGGGACATGAACCAGCACCCATATGG